AGCATCCATTAAATGCATTTCAACTTTTTGGTGAAATATAACTATTGTTTTTCCAGCTAACTTCACAAAAGAATTTCCCTTTGAATAAATGAAGTCTTTATCTTATCTTATCTTATCTTATCTTATCTTATCTTATCTTATCTTATCTTATCTTATCTTATCTTATCTTATCTTATCTTATCACACTCTTGTACAATCCGTGTGTCCTCTCGCTCTCTCTCTCCCTCCCTCTATTCTCCTCACTCCTTCATTCTACTGATAATCACACACAAACATTGTATCCAACAACAAAATAATATCACACTATGACAATCACTATGATACTTTCTCTCTCTCTCCCCCTCTGTTTGCTGGTTTTGGTACTTTATGTCAAATCAGTGAATTATGTCCACGATTTATGAGTTAGGAAGTAATAAAAGAAGTAATAAAAATTAATGGCAGTCATCATTTTTATGACTATAATAAAATTATAATATTTCATAACTCGGTAATAATCAATAATCATATGAACAAAAAATGTATGATCATGAAAATATGGTGATGGAATAGGATGATGAATAAGCTGTTTAACCTCCTGGACCTGGCGTCCACATATGTGGACATCACATTTTGGGTTATTTAGACCAAAATACTCAATTTTGCTCTACAAGGGCCTGATGTCCACTTACGAGGACGTTATACTGCTACTGTTCTATCGAAATTTTAAACAAATATCCTCATATGTGGCTCTCATTTTTCTTAGAAACAAAAATCAGGTAAAAAAAAAAATCTGGTCATTCTTTGTTTTTACATTCATTGGGTTCCAATCAGCCCAAATATCAAAGAGAAATCAAAAGTGCATGCCGTGGAAGAGTTCAGGTCTTAGGAGGTTAGGATAGAAATTCAAACTGTGGAATAATTTATATTTTTGTGCTGCTATCATTTTAAACCAAAAGGTTTACTTTTTTGACCAAAAATGCCACATTGGACCCTTATTTGGGGACCAAATGAATGCAAAGTCTTCTTTACTGGAGGTTAAAAATGGCTCTTTGGCATTTTATTAAAAAAAATCTGAAAGAGCAATGTTGTACGTGGGAATACGCCTGAATGTGGTGAGGGGACCAGCAAGACTGAGTTGTGGAGCAGCTGGTAAGGACTTGTGTATTTCTGCAAAGTCTGCAAAGCTGTCTTGGTTGATTTCAAAAACTCTGCGTACTTAACTCGTCAGAAGGCCATAAATTCAGATCAAAACTGTCCCACAGTCTCTTAGTGGCTGAAGCGAGAGCCTGCCTCTCTGAAATGACTTTATTGATGGGTCTGGGAGAAGTTCAAGATCATGGCTAGGGGTTACAGTCAGGGGGCTATTTCCGGTAGGTGAAAGTCAGGCAGGCGAGAACTTCTGGTCACTCAAAGTCGCTGGGGTTGAATGAGGGTGAAACAGCTGTTTCACAGCAATCAGGTTAAACCCGGCCTGGTTTAACACATTTTAACACACACACATACACAAGTACCCAAAAACAGGGTCCTGCCAAGGTGGCATTTCTTGTCAAAAAAGTAAACTTTTTGTTTAAAATGACAGCAGCACAAAAATATGAATTATTCCACAGTTTGAATTTCTATCTCAAACAACCTGTTCATCATCCTATTCCATCACCATATTTTCATGATCATATATTTTTTGTTCATATGACTATTGCTTATTACCGAGTTATATCATAAATATCATAATTTATCATGATTTTATGATATTTATAAAAATTGTGACTGCCATTAACTTATATTACTTTCTTTATTACTTCTTAAGTAATTAAATGGAATATGTTCTTTAAGTAGAACATATTCCTTCTTTACAGTACATCTTTAATTATTCTAATAGTTTGAATTTGTCCTGCTGTAACAGAGGAATGCCAAACAGGCTGCAGATAAACACTACACCAACACCCTGCATGGATGTGACGTGACAGAGGAGTTTATCAGCTGTAAAGCAGGCAAATTAGGATCTTTACCCAAATTGTCTCCATCCAGCGAGAGCAAGCAGAGGTAAATCTGTGACGCTTACAAACTTACTAAACTCAGTATTCTATCTGTTAATAAGTAGTCGGTACACTACTCATTATGTTCTTTTAATAATTAGTGACCTTGAGGAAGCAGACCTGGGTTATGAACCAGTTCACTATAGGAAAGTCTTCCTGGATGATGATGTGGATGATCCAGCCGAGAAGGAGGGAGGAAGAGCAGACGAGGAAAGCGACGAGGTCTCGTCTAATTACCAAGACAGTCACCACACAGAGAAGGATTGTCTTGGGGATGATTGCCATTATTCTGATGAAAGTTACCAATACTCAGATGATCACGAGAATTACTCAGAAGACAGTGAACATGCTGCTGACACTAAGGAGCAGGAGGCAGAGGACTGATATTTTAAATGTCATCATGTGTTCTTTCTCTGAGAGAGAAATCTGACCAAATTGTGAAAGGTTAATGTTTCTTTATTATAGGACTTTCAAGCTTGAGCTGTCTTGTTTCATCCCTTGAAACTCACTATTTTTTCTAGTTTTCTATCATTTTTGTGTCATGGCTGTGACAGATGTGAATGATTGCATTATGTGATTTCATTACCATACATTTAAGATAACGACTTTATTCTACTTACTAGAAAGCATAACAGTAACATAAATTTCATGCTTGAGGAAGTAACTTCAGACACAGCCACAAGCCATTGTCACAACACACACTTTGACTTGCCCTGTTAGGAGAACCTTGTGTTTCACTGGTCTTTTCTAGCACTCCATGATCAGAATGTGTCCTGAATTAGTACTAATAGTTCATATTTTTTGTTGTGATGTACTGCTTTAGTTCTTAACATTTTCCCACTTTTTAAGCAGTGTCTAAATTCAACTAAATCAAACTATCACTGAAAATAAACTTAATAAAGAAACAGCAAAATGTAACTTGAATGTTTGGATTATATTCTCAGATAGTTATATTATTTAATTGTTAAATGTGCATGTTTTCTTTTAGCACGTCAAAATGTGTTATATATAAATACTTAATCAATAGCTGTCCTTTTTTGTATTGGCTTAGAATAAAAGATTTCTAGTTATGTGAAATATTTCATTGACTGGCATTCCTGGACACATGGCCTCGGTTATATCATGACGACTCGTGTAGAAAAAAAGCCACTCATTTAAGAACTAAAAATGGTGTAATTTGGTTAAGCATTTAAGTAATTCAGTATTTGTTGCTTTGGGCCTTAGGCAGAGGTCAGAGTGGAAGATAAACAGGGGGAGGGAGATGAGCCAGATTGACAGCTTCAAACAGCCCATGATAAAGCGTGACGAAATCAATGGCTGAACCAATTAGATGCTCAGTAGGCGGGTGCTTAGTCCAAATTTTACGCGGCGCTCGGCGGGTCGAAACACCGAGAATGAATATCCCGGTCTCAACCGGTTTTAACCGGTCCGTGGTTGGAAGCGTGAGCTTAGAGGAAGAGCACACTTGCACGCACTTAAACATCTTTGCTTCCCAACAGTGTGTGCGAACAGAACCAGAAATAAAACGAGATTATTTTTACTTTGTGACCCGGAATACGACTCCAAGTCTGACTACGTGAAACTCTGGTGTTAGCTTAGCTTGATGTTACATTAGCCAGCGGACCTAAATCATTGACTTTTCCATTAGCACGCTAAGTTGCTATTAGCCTGGTCGGATGTAACTGGTAGCCTACCAATTATGTTTCAGAGTGGCTAAAGACAAGAAACGTCGGATATTCTTTAATATATCGCTAAAAAAATCGATGAATATCCAGCTTGACAGCATTTTTAAATTACGACTGTTGGTGTAATCGAGGAAAGCTACTATTAGCTTTTGGCTAACGACTTTTAAGGGCAGCGTAACGTAAACGTGTGCCATGAGATAAAGCTGCGAATTAGTTTGTATCGTATTTAGCGGTTTCACATTTAGGTCTTCTGTTAGAGCTCACATTATTAAAACCATCAGTAGTTTTCGACGAGCGGACACCAACTATCAGGTAAGTCGCGTCTGATCACCATTAACTTATTAAGACTAACGTCAGGGTGTATCGGTTTTGAAACTAACCACCATTGGTAATGATAACCGGTTATAGAACTCAGACGTCTTACAAGTTATTGTACTTGGTAAACTGGTACCTTTAATTGCGCCCAATAGTGGCAAACGGATCTGAGTGGACGTGTGTTGAATGCAGTATTTGCGGGTTGGCGGCGCTGTTTCGTGTTTCGCCAGTTTATGGTTTGTTTCAGTGACTGTCATAACTTTACCACGAGGGGCTGGCAAAACCGGAATAACCTGTTTCTGACTTATTTATTTCTCCAGAATATCGGTTGTCGATTCCATTTTTTTTACGTTCCACTTATCTAGTATGTGTTAGTATTTACAGTGTAAATTTTCAACACTAAAAGACTTAGTTTTTAGCACTTGTACTGCAAATTTTAATCACAGATGCGGTTCTTTTATGTTTGGTAGTTCTTTTGTTACTTTCCCCCCAAAGAAAAGTTGGGGTTAAGGTTTCTATTTCTTCGTTTCCCCTGTCAGAATCTCTATGCCAGCAGAAATGACAATGTTGGCAGATCACCCAGCCAGACAGCTGCTGGACTTCAGCCAGAAATTGGACATAAATCTGTTGGACAATGTTGTCAACTCCATGTATCATGACATTGGATCCCAGGTGTGTGTTATGTGTTTCACCTTCAGTCAAAGCAGTGCTACTTTCAAGTCCCTAATGGGTGTGGGAGCTTGTCTTGTAGCAAATACATGTATGTTAAATTGAAGTATACTTTAAGTTGCTCTAAACCCACTGCTACTATGTTGCTCTTTTCTAGCAACGAGTAGCCCAGGAAGTGCTCACAAACTTGAAGGACCACCCTGATGCTTGGACGAGAGTCGACACCATCCTGGAGTTCTCTCAGAACATGAAAACTAAGGTGTGAGCATAACAAGCATGTATTAAGGAATGCTAGGGCCTTAGACGAGCTACATTATTACACTGTTGAGGACCAGTGTATTAATGTGAGCTGAAGCTTATTGCTTTATCCACATAAGGCTTAGGCTTTCAGGGAGGTGAGGTGTGAGAAATCATTATGATTGACCTAGTGTTTACTGGATATCTTGTACAGTCAATGGGTCATGCTTCACTGTCTTTAAATAAGTAGTTTTTGACAGCCTTACATGCTGTGCCTTTTTACTAGATCACGGATTTAAAGACTCTTGTGATGCTATCTTCAGTTGTCAGTGCTGCCAGAATGTTTGTTTTGGGCTTCTTTTGGCATTGCTACTGTCTCCATTTGTGTATATAATGGCTCTGAGACTGTGCTTAGTATGCACACTTATTTGTCTTTGGTCTAAGGTACACACAGCTGCTGTTGCAAGAGAGTTAAATGCTTAACTCGTAGGGCTTGAGAGGTGCAAGTGTTGAAGGTTAATGTGTCCATTTATAACAGTTCAATTATTATAACAATGCCAATTCCACACTTGTATATATTTTGTGTAAGAACAGTGACTAAATATGTGGCTGAAGTCTACAATTAGTTTTTTACCTGTCAACACTGACCAAAGGTCATGTATGATTATTGCTTTAAAAGAAAAAAGAGAGACACACACGTTCCAACTATTTGAATATTGTACACTCAGAAAAAGGCAAAGTAGTACAGTGAGAGACATACATTCTGGTATATGTATTTAAACAGAAAGTTACATAAATGCACATTACAAAATAACCGAATAAAATGATTAGTTATAAGTTATATAGAATAAACATTCAATGTGCTGAACAGCAATGATCTTTTTGAACATATAACAGGACATAATCAAACCATCAGGGACCAGTGCTGCCTGAAGCTTTTCTCAATAGCCAAATCAGTCAGCAAATTTAAGGTTCCACTGTTTTGCAATCAGTTGACCAAAATCAGAAATTTCCCCGAAGAGTGTGGGTGTAAAGTCACTGCTGCAGAATTAGCTTGTGAATTCTCTGCAGTCATTACCACATGGTGCTTTTCAAAAAATTAAAGATAAAACCAAGTTTGAGCTAACTTTGTGTATTTTAAAAATGAACTACTACATCTAAACTAACTGGGGATTAAAGCTTAAGTGGGAAGTCTGTCATGAGCACAAATATCTCTTAAACTTTACAGTGTAACCTGAAATGCATCTCCCTAAAGATGTAACTACAAGTTGCATTAATGCAGCCCACAGCTATTGTGAAAGGCCTGTTCAGTACCTTTGATTCATCATGTGAATTCCTTTGAACTTCTTCACTGCAGTTTTTGAGTTTATCAATGAGAGAGCAGTCATCATCTCAATATATGGATTAATAATCAAAGCATCAATAAGGACTTTAAAATGATGAGGGGGGAAATCCCAGCTTTTTGTTTTTATCTACTAGCACCATATATAAAACAGCAGGATATAACCATATGATAATTAACACATTATACCATGCACAATTGGCCACTTACGTAGGTTATGTTGTAGGATGCACCGAAAAAGTCTAAATTAGGCCTTAGCCTGTTACTGATAACTATGTTAATACACCCATATAAATATCTTGAAAGATTCATTTAAGCTAAAGGTTTTTCTATTAAGCATATTATGACTTAATAGTGTTTATCTTTGGTAGCTGATATTTATCCACTTACGTTTACTAATTACATTAGGTCACTTCTCACTCGCACCAGTAGCTGTGTATCTAAACTCTGCCGCAGCCAGAGCTGCACCTTCGCAGCCATTGCTGGGTTCTCCTTCCACAGTCAAATAATTTGCACAATTAAATGTCTAATTACTTTGTGAATTCCATTACATAATTGAATTTAGAATATTCGTTGACAGCCCCAGTAATATCAATGTCTAAAGACCATGGGTCATCAATTTTGGGCTGCACAAAGCTGTCCACATGGGGTCACCGTGGAGACATGACAGTGCAAAGACTCTCCTGAGGTTAGCTCTTGTTTTTGCTTGTAAATCGTGATGAAAGGATTGAGTCTTTTTCAGAGCTCTAACTCATCTTTTCTTTCTTTCTTTTTTTTTCTTTTTTCCCCTCCCAAATAGTATTATGCTCTTCAGATTCTGGAGACAGTCATCAAAACACGCTGGAAGATTCTTCCAAGAAATCAGTGTGAAGGTAAAAATCACCCTAATGACATTAATCAGGATATCTGTGTGTTTTCTTCCTCAGATATGTTATTTGTATGAAAGGTGTAATCAGTTTTCTCTGAACAACACATGTCTGTGTTTTCAGGAATCAAGAAGTATGTTGTTGGACTGATTATCAAGACTTCTTCTGATCCTGCGAACATGGAGGTAAGGTGTCCTGTGTGATATGGTGCACTTAAACATACTCGTGTCATTGTAATAGGGTTGTCCCGATATTAGAATTTCAAACTCTGTTCTGATGTTCAGGAGAATACTTGACACAATTTTTGATACCACAGGGAAGTTTGACCACATTGTGCAACAACAGAAGTAATGGCAAAGACATCATTTCTTGAAAAACTTGATGTGTTAATTTTACAAATGATTTAGATTTCATTATAGACTGAAGTTAAAATATATTTTAAAACATATCAATAGATAAAGGGTACAACTGCAGAATACCTAACATATCAAGATATATCTTTTAATCATTGAAGACAAAGAGGATTATAGAAAAACTACAAATAATAATATATTTATGCTAATATAAAAACGATAAAAAACCAAGAGTGTTCACTGTGAAGCAGATTGAACCAATCACTCACTGATTGGTTGCACTTCAAAACTGAAGTTATGGCTGGCAACAACAAAATAAGAAATGCATAATTAACACATGGATAAATTATTCCAAAAGCAGAAAAGTATATCATCTTGTACACATCTGCCTTCTCTTCACCGGATCTGCAACCTCTTGCTCATCCAGTGTTCACTCTGTCCTGCCTCACTCTGCAGCTCTTCACTTCACCTCCAAAATTTGCTCAGAGTAGTTTGTCACATTCTCTCCACTGTTCAGCTACTGTTCCCCTGCTGCTCTGCACAGCCAGCAACCCATCTAGTTTCCCATGTGTCCGTAATCCAGTCTGTTACTGCTCAATATTCTATCCATGACCCAGTCAGCCCTGCACCATTTATTAATCTTTTTTCTAACCATAGTCTGCTAGCTGTTACGTGACTGATTAAAAATGGCTAATGTGGCTATTGGGTAGTTGCTAATAGTTAACAGCTAACATAACATGTAACCTTTTTTATGTTTATTTGCAGAAAGAGGGGGTATACATTTCAAAACTCAACATGATCCTTGTACAGGTAAATAGGCATTTAATGTTTGATATAGTGTACATTATTATTGTTTGACATAAAGCAATGATGCTGATGATGAGCTCTATTTCTGGACTTTTAGATCCTGAAGCAGGAATGGCCCAAACACTGGCCCACTTTTATAAGTGATATTGTGGGTGCAAGTCGGACCAGTGAGAGCCTCTGTCAGAACAACATGATCATCCTCAAACTGCTCAGTGAAGAGGTGTTTGACTTCTCCAGTGGCCAGATGACCCAGGTGAAGGCCAAGCATCTCAAAGACAGGTAACTGATCTGATATACTGTATAACTTATGTCGAGCAAATAGTGGACGTCAGGTCTTACATTTGAGTACTGAATACTGAAAGAAGGAGAAATATTGGTTCATTGTTGATTTTGAGTCTTTTATTTTCAGTCCAATCAGGCACAGTTAGAGATATCATTTTTTTTTTTGATGTTGTGCATTCTCGCGTTTCCATTGCATATTTCGATCAATCATACTGCATTCCAAAACCTGCAGGTTATATTGTAATTTGTATGCATTTGTATACTGATGATTCCCCCAAAAAAGCTGTATAGATGTAAGATTGCACCTTTTGTTAACAAAATGTAGCAATTATCCCAGAAGAAGGCTGGGAAGATTGTGAACTCTGACATCCTGAGTGGGACTCCACTTTAATTGGTTTTAGCAGCAGTATGTAAAATTTACTACCATTTGTAAATCTGGTCAACGCAAAGCCAGATTGTTGGTCATTTGGCTCATTGGGTGCCACGGTAGACTCCGCTAGACTTGGGGAAAAAGGGTGAGAGCTTTAAAAAAACAAACAAAAAAAAATCCAGATGATGAGTACTTACACTCCGCTCTCTTTTCCCTGTCAGCATGTGCAATGAGTTCTCCCAAATATTCCAGCTGTGCCAGTTTGTAATGGTAAGACAAACAATTTTTTTTCGCAGTTGTTTTCAAAACATTTTGTGCAAGTCTCAATACCTCAATTTGATGTGTATAATTCTTCTCCATAGGAAAATTCCCAAAATGCCCCACTGGTCCACGCTACCCTGGAGACTTTACTCCGCTTTTTGAATTGGATTCCTTTAGGTTACATCTTTGAGACGAAACTCATCAGCACGTTGGTCTACAAGGTAAACCAGATGATACTCTTTCATTAAATAAAACTTGAAATAATTAACTCTAATACAGCGTGATACAGTATGTCTGTGAGTCTGGTTATACTGAAAAACACTGACATGGCATGGTAAGGCCAGTTAAATTAATGTTGTCACGCAAAGTGTCTAAGAACAAATGCTCAGATTTGCACATGGAATCAATTACAAGTAGAAACTTCGAAAAGGTTTTAACCTTAAATTTTGACAACTTAATCAGTTCAAAGGGATCCCACCGTCTGAACTATGGTGGTTCATCCTAAAGATGCATAACAATATTGTGGAAATATTGCCATTAATCCAGAACTCGTTGTGTCATTGGTTTGGTCAGGAATCAGTCATTTATTACATGCATATAAAGCAGTTGGTGCTAGATAATGATCATAAAATCGTCAAATTGATCTGAACTGGTTACAGCTGCAGGGCTCACAAAACTCGCTAGCCCGACGTCCCGGGGCTAGCGATTTTTGTGAGCCCTGAGCTGACTAAATGTGAGTCTCACTATCATAGTTGTTGAGTCAAGGCTGTTAACCAGCTAACTTGTATGCATGTAAGAAATGCATTCCTTCATCACAAATTATAGGAGCAAGAAAAATAGACATGTCAGCACTGACCTGCTGTGTTTTCTTTTTCAGTTCTTGAACGTACCCATGTTTCGCAATGTGACTCTGAAATGTCTGACTGAGATCGCTGGTGTGAGCGTGAACCAGTATGAGGAGCAGTTTGTCAACCTCTTTACCCTCACCATGTCCCAGCTCAAACAGGTATGCACTCAGACCCAATTAGTATTGAGTGCCTCTTGCATTAATTGCACTCAGTGTTACAACGTGCTTACAAATACCGTTTGAGTTATTACACACAAATCTCCAACCTTCCACCTCCACAAAAGGTCAACAGGCAGCACAGACTGTCAGTCTCTCAGTAAAAGAAAGACCCAAAATAAATGTAGATTAAGTAAGAAATTTTCCTTAGTCCATTCAGAAATGGGCATAAATGTTTTTCAGTGTGTGTATGTGTGAATTTAACAGTTTTGCTGAGTTGCTCTGTTTACAACAGCAGATAAGTTTCAAAAACTGCCCAAATACACAAAGCATGAGAGGAAGCAGTGGATAGTTTAGTACTTTCTGTTCACAAATTAAAATACAGAGTTTTTAGTCACCTTAAAACCAACTACTTTCACTGTGCTGTGTATTGTGAATGTGCTTGTACAGAGTGCCTTAGGCTAAAGTGAAGAGTTTAATCCTTTCTGAGACCATTGCATGAGCTCAGGCTTTTCTGAATGAATCATGTAATAATCACAGCTGTGTTTCACACACAAGAATATTATGTCGTCTGTAACATTGAGCAGACTGACATATGGTGCTATAGCAAGTCAGGTCATAGGCTTTATTTGTACTGTTTCGTTGTAGCCCATTTTATGTTGTACATCAGTGTCTATCAATAGGTAAACTGTACTTTATCAAACATTTAAACTCTTACTTACTTATAAATCATCGTTTATTCTCTCCAGAGTCTCTGTACTAAGTACTTTACTATGTACTTTAGTACTTCAGGCTCCACTCTGACTATCTAAGAACAAAATGATGCTAGTGCATGAGATGGAGAAGTTTTCTGCGTAGCTGTGGCCTGACAAATTATCTGAACAGAAGATTATAAAATGTAATGAATATAAGATCAGGGTGTCTTTAGTTACCAGAAAATTTTACATTTCTAAAGTTATAAGTAAACCTGGTCCTTACTTTACATGATATTCATTAAAACATTCCTTAAATGAAACTATACTAAACGTTATCACCCAGTATTCCTTAACAGGCAGTGTTTCTGGTATAACTTTGTGGTTTATATTCTTGATCTAAAACTTGATTACAGCAAATGCAATGTCCACAAACAAAACCCCAAATGGATTCAATGAAAGCAACTTTGAAGATAAATTAATAATTATAAGGCTTTGCAGTAATCTCTCTCTCTTTTTTTTTGCTGTTTGGCCAGATGCTGCCTTTAAACACAAACATCAGAGTGGCGTACGCCAATGGGAAGGATGACGAACAAAACTTTATTCAGAATCTGAGCTTGTTCCTCTGCACTTTCCTCAAAGAACATGGCCAGCTCATTGAGAAAAGGCCCAACCTACGCGAGACACTCATGGAGGTAGGCGGACAACACAGCAACACAAACGAGAACATTTTCACTGTTTTCCTTTTTGTTTGTTTGTTCGTTTGTTTGTTTCTTTTACATCATGTGGACCCTGAACTCTCATGTTGTGGCTTACAGTCATTTTGTCTATATTAGCATCCCTTTCTGTATCAGGTGACTGCCAGATTTTCTTTTTCTCCTCATGCATTTTGTCCTTATTACTAGGGATGGGTATTGTTTAGGTTTTATCCGATACCGGTGCCAAACCGGTACTTTTGAAACGGTGCCGGTGCTTAAACGGTGCTCGAACCGGTGCTTAAAGAATGGAGAACACAAAATTGGTCCAAAAACCTCTCATGTTCAGCTGTTTTTTTGTAAAAAGATAACAATGTTAGCCTTTTCTGCAGCTATGGGGCATATATGGTATCACTCTTGGCTGGAAGCAGTGCTTAAACAATGGAAAAAACAAACTTTGTCCAAAAACCTCTCATGTTTAGCTGTTTTCCACTTTTTCTTTGGTCATTTTAGCCTTTTTGGCCAGAGTGAAGGGAGTATCTGCCATCAAACAAGAAGACAGCCGCATGTAGCTATGATGATGTTTGCTAGTTCACCTTACATGCATTAATGTAATAACGTGGTTAGCCTACTCAACGTAAATTATACACTTGCAACATTAAGCTCCTCACGCAGAGAAGAACGGCTGCTGCTGCATCATCATCATCATCATTTCTGCTACACTGGCAGGGCTAGGGGCCAGGACTCTCCTCTTCGGGTTTCTGGGGGATGTTGCTCCGGGTCCGATAACAGGCACCACACCCGCAGTAGATGCGCTCGGTGTGAGGTCTCGCAGCAAGCTATCAAATACGGCGCATTTTTCGGCTTTTAAAAAAAACGCTATGCGTCGCCAGGTGTTTCATCAGATTTGAGGTGTTACCTCCTTTGACAGTATCACAGTATCAGCTTAAAGCAGTTGTTGCTGCTGAGTTTGCATCTTTTGCTGTGAAGTACAGCCAGACTTTTCACTGCTTCGCTTTGGGCATTTTTAATCTGTAGCTCTGCTCTAGAAGAACGTACCTACCTGGACCCGCCTACTATCCTCGGAAACGTAAAATGATTGGCTAGAATCTAAAGTGTATCACAGCTCAGGAAAATAAAGCACCGAAATAAAGCACCGAAATGTGCGCTGCTTTTCGGTCTGGTTACTACTGTTTATGTCAGAACCGATACCGGTACTCATCCCTACTTATTACACTTTTGCAATGGTATACATTTTGAAGCAATTACACTGGGATGGTCGACCTTTCTCTTTTCCACTTAAATAAGTATAGATAGTTAATTGTTCTGGGAACTGTGAAGAATGAGAGTAGCACAGGAAATATCAGTAATCTGTACTGCAATTTAACCATAAAAAGGCTCATTAATTTTGATTATGTAAACATAACTTGTCTGTTTGTTTTATGAAATATAAAACGCTAAGGACAAGTGGACCAGGAAATCAAGAAGTTGCTTAAAAAGTAAAAGGGAGATTATTTCAATTACAAACTGTACCATTATATTATCTTCATACTATATTTATAGGACAGCCAATGAAGACTACTTGATTATGCTTGAAACCAACAAATTCAGGGCATACTATGTCCCACATTTGGTTAAAGAAAGTGAGGAATATCCTGAGATCTTTTGACTTTAAAAAGCTCACTATAAAGAAGTGTATTGCATCTGATCATGTTATAAAAGTTTTCTGTCTTGCAAATGTCAGTACTAAAGCACTGAGTACATCCATACTGAACGAATAACTGACCTGAGAAGACCTAGTTGTCCTATATCTGTTCTGAAGCACAAAGATTTTAAGGATAGGAAACATCTTCATAAATGCACCTGAGATTATGTTGATTCCAAGAAATGGAATCCTTATCACTTACTTTTACACACAAGAAATCAAAATTTATAAAACCACTGTAAAGTGTTTTGTTTCCGTCAGACTTTTCCAGTGAGTCCATGAAGATGCCAGAATCTTTTCTTTCACAGCTGATTTTCTTCCTTCAGCTTCTTTTGAGCTTCTCATCTGTGAGAGCTGTGATTCTTGACTGGCTGGTTCTTTATTTTCGTCTGATGTTGGAGAACCCATTTACAGTGTTATGTAATTGTGGATGACCACCACATTTTACCTACAACAGGATAATTTAACTAGTCTGTGACTGACCAGAAGAGTCATGACATAATAACCCCCACGTTAAAAAAAGAATAGAAGTTTGAATAATGACATACATCCCTTTGTTTCATCAGTTGACTTGAAACATTTAAAGTTGTCCAGCCTCACCACACTTTGTCCTGTCTGCAGGCGCTGCACTACATGCTGCTGGTGTCAGAAGTGGAGGAGACGGAGATCTTTAAGATCTGTTTGGAATACTGGAACCACCTGGCAGCTGAACTCTACAGAGAGAGTCCCTTCTCCACTTCCAGCACTCCACTGCTCTCTGATGTCCCACCACGCAGACACCTTTACCTACCTGTGCTCTCCCAGGTTGGGCTGCTATTACGCACGCACACACAGAGATTGTATCCTCAAAATGTCAATGGATTAAGAGTTCACACTCTTGTCCCAAATGCAACTTATGATTATATTGAACAGCATTGCAATCATATTCTTAGGATTATTTATTGGTCATGTTTTTGTTTTTTTAAATGGCATAAAATGCTTGCAAACATCTAAAACAAAATAATTGCATTTTTTACACTGTTCTTACAAAACTGATGTGTCTAACTGACTCTCTATATCCCTGTCTTCTTTCAGGTGCGTCTACTGATGGTGAGCCGTATGGCCAAACCAGAGGAAGTGCTCGTGGTGGAGAACGATCAGGGCGAAGTGGTCAGGGAGTTTATGAAGGACACAGATGCAATCAACCTTTACAAGAACATGAGAGAGACTCTTGGTAAGTTGTTAACGGTCCTTGTGACTAACTATAAAATATTATATTTATAATATTACTTATTTATATTTATAAAATATTTTAATTGTGCAGTTTTCAGGGGTTTTTCTCACTGTCAAGTTACGTCCTGTATGTACCAGGCTGTTATTCAACATTTAAGACCTTTCAGTTGTAATTTTATGCTTCAGTAATGTATGCTGCTCCTGTGGGGTCTCAAAGAGGATTAATTTTTTTTTCTTTAAATTTATGAAAACCAAAAATGGGTTTATTAAAAGATCTGGCATCTTGTTATTAAAATGGTGTGGTCAGCAGCACTTACTGGTTATATTGGCACTTTGTATTAAGTAACTCTGTCTTTGTGCACAGTGTATCTGACTCATCTGGACTATGCTGATACTGAACGCATCATGACAGAGAAGCTTCACAACCAGGTGAATGGCACCGAGTGGTCGTGGAGAAACCTGAACATGCTGTGCTGGGCCATTGGTTCCATCAGCGGAGCGATGCATGAGGAGGATGAAAAGAGGTTCCTTGTGACTGTCATCAAGGTGAAACATACATTGTTGTAGCACATGTCATTAACACAGTATGGCTGAAAAATATGTTTAGATTTTGTCAGTCTCTGTAACACCAAACAATATAAATTGATTAGGTGTGTTACAATTGCAGGACCTGCTTGGCTTGTGTGAGCAGAAAAGAGGCAAAGACAACAAGGCCATAATAGCATCAAACATCATGTATATCGTGGGTCAGTATCCTCGCTTCCTGCGAGCCCACTGGAAGTTCCTCAAGACGGTCGTCAACAAGCTGTTTGAGTTTATGCATGGTGAGATATTTCGTGCTGAATTTTTGTGTTTTTCTGATGCTTGGTGTTAGGAGAATGTTGAAACGATGCAAAGCATTGTTACACTAAATCTCATTGGCTGCTGTCAATGAATAAGGCTTATTGTGATTTTGTTCGGCTTATTCTCTTTTTCCTTGCACAGAGACACATGATGGCGTTCAGGACATGGCATGTGATACTTTCATCAAGATAGCCCAAAAGTGCCGCCGTCATTTTGTGCAGGTTCAGGTGGGAGAGGTGATGCCCTTTATAGATGAGATTCTGAACAACATCAACACCATCATTTGTGACCTGCAGCCTCAGCAGGTGAGCCCTGCCCAGTGTCTGGACTTATTCACGTGGTTTTGTTATAGTTCTGCTGTTAAATAGGTTTAAGTGCGTCTGTCAGACTTTCACGGGATGGAAATTGTGTTTTGCAGTAGAACTTTTCGTTTGCTAAGTTCCAAACCTACATGTTGACAAAGGTCTATGTTAGAATTAAGCCCAGTCCCATTCCTGCAGGTTCATACATTTTATGAGGCAGTGGGCTACATGATTGGAGCTCAGACAGACCAGGCTGTTCAAGAGCTTCTGATAGAGAAATACATGCTGCTGCCTAATCAGGTGTGGGACAGCATCATCCAGCAAGCCACTAAGGTGAGAAACCATGTAATGTGCCACTGCTGTTACATTGTCAATGAGGCAGCCTGCAGCCCACTTCTGTTTTGTTAGTGTGTGCTTAATCTTTAACATGGACTTGTACTACAGAATGTGGATATCCTGAAGGATGCAGAGACGGTGCGTCAGCTGGGCAGCATCCTCAAGACAAACGTCAGAGCCTGCAAAGCTGTTGGCCATCCCTTTGTTGTCCAGCTAGGACGCATCTACCTGGACATGCTCAATGTCTACAAATGTCTAAGTGAAAACATTTCCTCAGCCGTCCAAAGCAATGGTAAGTTTATGGGCTCTCCCTCAATTTATTAACCAGACTAATGTTTGAGCCTTATCAATAAAGTACTGTTAGAGTGCTTACCACATAAAACCTACAGTAGTAAAGAAATGGGAATTCAAGCACACAGCATCACTGTTGTGACAATATAACCAGTAAATCACAGTAATAATTTTGACCAAAAAAATAATGTGCAAAAACTTACTGCCAAGTTTTTTTGATGAAACCCTTGAAAGTTTATTCATCCTCAGTATGTGCTCATTGGAGACGTCAGCCACTTAAACTTGTTGGTTTTTCTCGTTTGTACAGGTGAGATGGTGACTAAGCAGCCTCTGATTAGGAGTATGAGGACCGTAAAGAGAGAGACGCTAAAATTAATCTCTGGCTGGGTCAGTCGCTCCAATGACCCTCAGATGGTGAGCCTGGCCTTGTTTTGTTTCCTCTAGTCTGTTCTCTAATGAAACAGATTCAAATCTGTGTTTATGGAGACTTCTGTTTCGAGCAGTGATTCATATAAAACCCCTCCTGCATTTATTTAGCAATGAAGAAATAAATGGTGCAGGTAACAAACTGAAAATTGTAATAACTGCTTTGCATGTAAGCATGGGTTTCTTTTCCCCTCAGAAACAATGAAAAGCTTAAATTAGATTTTTTTTTCCTGCTATAACCCTAAGTATGACCAAAGCATGTTCTTTCAAACCTTCACTGTCTCTGGAAAATGGGCACTATTATTATTTTGAAGCTAGAGTGCAAATTAATAATGTTAAAATGGTGTTAATGAAACGCTTAACTAAAATCTGTCATGGTTAAAGTCAAATGTCTGTAAATGTAGTAAATTATTGTAAAAGGAGTTGTCAGTTTTCACCTTCTAATTATATTTTTAGGGCTCCAGTAGTTAATGGTGTGTTATACTAAAGAGTTATTCAAAATCTTTTAATATCTGTCTTAAAGGAACGAGAGAACAGCTCTTTTACTCAGTGTGATTGTTTTTAATGTGCTCTTAATTTGATCTGTTATTGTATATTTTACACATGTTTGTATGGGATATTGTATTTGTTTTAAATGTTATATACCTATGTGGTATGTGACTTTTGTTGCCATGATGCCAGGTCTTTCTTGGAAATGAGATTTTTAATCTCAATGAGATTTTTTACCTGGATAAATAAAGGATTAATAAAATATGAGGGTGTGAAACACCCATCATAATTGCTGCCGTTCCTTTGGTTCAGGTGGCAGAGAACTTTGTGCCTCCCCTGCTGGAAGCTGTGCTCATAGACTACCAGAGGAATGTTCCAGCTGCCCGGGAGCCTGAGGTCCTCAGCACCATGGCAACCATTGTGAACAAGTTGGGAGTCCATATCACCGGAGAAATTCCCATGATCTTTGACGCTGTCTTCGAGTGCACTCTGAACATGATAAACAAGGTTTAACGAGTTGATTTAACTGTATCTGATAGAATAGAATAAAAATTTAAAGTTGAACAGTTTATAACCCTTCTTAACTCCTTGTTTTCCATTTATGCCTGCAGGACTTTGAAGAATTTCCAGAACACAGAACCCATTTCTTCTACCTCCTTCAGGCTGCCACCTCCCAGTGCTTCCCAGCCTTCCTATCTATTGCCCCAGCTCAGTTCAAACTGATCCTGGACTCCATCATCTGGGCTTTTAAGCATACGATGAGAAATGTGGCTGACACAGGTCTGAACTGAAAACACTAACCCTGTTAGATTGTTCAGACAACACAGAGGGACATGCTTTTTTTCTGCTTTTGATTTGATGTGATGTTGTTGAGATCGGGTATCCCTAATGTGATCAGCTCTGAGACTGATCATATGAGCCATAAGCTGTTCACAAGCTGTTCCTGTTTTGTTTTGTTTTTTTTTGGGGGGGGGGTTTAACAAGAGGCAGCCAATAGGTATAAAAATGCTTAAAAGAGAGAGAATCTAAACTTTTTCAACAAATGAAGTGAGACTACGTATAAGATCAGTAAGGATGGGATAAAAATTTTGAACAGCTGAAGATATGATGCACAGTTAGTGTTTTTATTCTAGTGCAGTGCTGGAATAGAAATATGGAGCACAACAGTTCAAAATAAAAGTAATATACCACACAATACAATATCAAGTAATATGCAAAATTTGAAACTGACCTTACGTGTATGTAGTGCAGATTGTTCTCAAATCTCTGCTGATCTAAAGGATGTCGCATCCTCTTTTGCAGGCTTGCAGATCCTATATACTCTCCTGCAGAATGTTTCTGCAGAGGAAGCAGCAGCGCAGAGCTTCTACCAGACGTACTTCTGTGACATTCTGCAGCACATCTTTTCTGTGGTCACGGATACATCTCACACTGCAGGTAAAGAGATTATGAATGTATCATCACACAATTATAAAGGCTTCTCAGTTTGACCTTTATATAAATACAATAATGATGCAGCACTCCATTTTCAGTGTAGTCAGGAGCCAGTTTTTTTATAAGACCAGCCAGTAACTAAATAACCAGCGTGTTGTTCTGCCCTTTCTCTAGGATTAACGATGCATGCCACCATCTTGGCGTATATGTTTAACCTGGTGGAAGAGGGGAAAGTTAGTGTTGCTCTGAGTGCTGCAAGCCCAGCCAACAATCAGGGACATGTCCAGGAGTACATCGCCAACCTGCTCAAGACAGCCTTCCCCCACCTCCAAGAGTAAGTCAGCTGAACCTTGCTTTGAACTCTGCTGCCCGTATTATTACTAGGACTCCCTCTACTCACCATCACACCTATCCTGAAGCAGCTTCACTGCCTCCCGGTTCAACTCCGTATTAATTTCAAAATACTCCTCCACACATTTAAGGCTATTCATTCTCTCTCTCCTCACCATATCTCTCTGACATGGTACAGATCTCCATCCCATCCTCCTCTTCTCTTCTTCTTTCTGTTCCTTCATTTCATTGTATTACCGTGGGGGGCAGGACTTTTCGTTGCTTTGTTTTATTATTGTGGTCATTTCCTGTTTTTATGCTTGTCTTATTTGTTCTGTAAAGTGTCCTTGAGTGTTTTGAAAGGCGCTTTTTTTTTTCTTGAATATGAGGCCAAAAAATTAAACTGTTGCAGAATTACAACAGATGTTATTTATGACCACAGTTTTACAAGTTGTACTTTCCAGACTTGAGGCTCATTGAATGTTTTATCTACAGTGCCCAGGTGAAGGTGTTTGTGACGGGTCTATTCAGCCTCAATCAGGATATCCCAGCCTTTAAGGAGCACCTAAGGGACTTCCTTGTGCAGATCAAGGTGAGAAAATGGCCAAAAAAAAACTTGCCAGCTAGAAATTGACCAAGAAAGGTATAAGTGCAAAAATGAAGATGATTATATTCTTTGCCAACACAAAACAGTTTTATCTGAGCCAATGAGCAATGATTCTTAGCTTGGATCCAAAGTATGCCAACCTTTGTGCTCAAATTTACATGAGCAAAAAGATATTATTCATCAATGAAAACACTGCAGACACCTGCTTCTTAGTAGAAGAATAGAATTTAAGAGTAGAAGAGTTGAATTTAAAAGCATTGGTGTTGAAACTGTATGGTTTAAGGAGCACAACACACCCAAATGAATCCAAATTTCCAAACCGTCTACTTGTGTGGTCTTGCAGGAGTTTGCTGGTGAGGACACGTCAGACCTCTTCCTGGAGGAGAGAGAGACAGCTCTGCGCCAAGCCCAGGAAGAAAAACACAAGCTCCAGATGTCTGTGCCCGGCATCCTCAACCCCCATGAGTTGCCAGAGGAGATGTGCGACTAAAGTGACCATAGCCCCTACGGACCAACTCTGAAGGGAGAAAGTTCACCAGGGAGCAAAGACATTTCCTGTTGTTTTCCTTCCAAGTGTGGTTGTGTGCAAGTGTGTGTTGAAGAGAATTGGAGGGGGGACCCGGCACTCGGTTGTATGTCGACCAAATTCTGTCAATATGTAAATGAGAATCGCCCCTTATTACTACCCCCAATTCTGGCACAGATTCCTCCCCACCACCAGCTTCTTTTATATACATTGTTTATGTAACATGCCATCTTTTGTTACCTTCTTGCTGTCAAAGCTTTGTTTGGCCATGCATTCATTTAAACCTGCATGAAGTTGTAAGAAGTAATGGTTATTTTTTAACCTACTACATGCTTATTTCAACTTCCTTCCCACTTGTTAATATGTAATATATATATAATGTTGAAACACTTGCAATGGTTATGTGACAGATTGCTCCAGTTTCACAAGTGCCATGTGCACTGTGCAGAACGAATGTGATGTTCAAGGGGTCCATTTGTACTCCTTTGCTTCCTGTGTTTGTTGTTTTGGTTTTTGAGTGTGGTTGTTTTGTTTCTTTTCTTTTGTTTTGGCTTTCTGATAAATTCAGGGCTTCGGTTCCTCTGCTTTTGGATGAGTGCGTGCATATCATCCTGTTTGTAAAGCTGTCTTAGTACTCTGAAAATATAAAGTTGGCTATTTTTACAAAACATTCTGTATGATTCTCTTCTTTCTGTAAGCCTAACCTTAAGGACCTAAAAGTTTAGATAAGCTTCAGGTGCTACTGATAGGTCAGATGAGATGCAGTTTTTAAGTGAATAATCACTACACTTAAAAAGCCACTGTGGTGCCCCAGTCAGTTATTTGCAGCACACATATATGAAACATTGGAGATGTTGAACTAAATCAACTTGCACATTTATCCAAATATAGCACTTCTTTGATACTACAGAAGGAGTAAGAACAAGTTTTGTTATACATTTTAAAATGGATAAATTATACTTGATTTCTGTGATATACACTGCGCAAAAAATGACCACTTTTTAATTGAGTATAGCATCAAATTAATTAAATTCATTTTTTTTAAAAATATTGATCTGGTCAGTTAGGTAGCAGAGGGGGTTAATGAGTTGCTTTCGTTGCAGGAGCAACACTGAGTCAACTCTGGCATCCTAGCATGACTGGGCCCCACACACGCCTGATCTAAATTCTATACAACACGTGGAATGTTATGTTTCCATCCACACATATGATGCCACCAGGCTGCACCTCAAGACTGTCCAGGAGCTCCTCGGGGAGCAGATAGGTGCATTCTCCAATGTTGTCATGGCAGGCATACAAACTGCAGAGCATTACTTTGAGTTGCTGCAATGAAATTTCTGCAAAATGGACCAGCTACCCACATACTTTTTCACTTTGATTTTGTAGGTGTCTTTGAAGCAGCACTTTGTAGGTTGATCATTTTCATCAAATGATGTAGCATTTTTTTGTTCTTAGTGCATTACTCACTCCATATCAGTGTAGGTATAAAAGACTTTCCAATGAGATCAGATGTGTTTGCTAAGTGCTGCTCTAATATTCATGTTAAATAGTTTGGTCAGCCTATGTACAAGTTTGTTCTTTTTTTAAAAGATTTTTTATTGGCAGAGACAGTGATGATAGACAGGAAATTGGGGAGAGAGAGGGGGGAGACATGTATTAAAGGGCCACGGGTCAGACTCAAACCCAGGCCTACTGCATTCCGGCCACATGGCCTTGCTCACCCAAGGCCATGTGGCCATGTTTTAAAAAACAAGTTCTCTGTTTCAGGTTGTTTTTTCTTCTACTTTTGGATTTGTATACAGGGGGAAATCCTTATATGTTCATCTAAAATGTACATCTCTGGCTGTAGCAGGTGTTTGGATTGTCAACCAATCAGAAGAAAGTTGGATTAAACGGAGGTGGAAGGAAGTTAAAACAGCTGCCCCAAGGCCCAGTACAATATAAATAAGGATTATTTTTTTTAGCTGTTAATCAATGCAAAGCTACTATAGTAGGGTCACACATACAAATATATTGCTGGAGATGAGCATAATAGGTTCTGCTATAAAAGTTGTGCTGCAAAAGTATCAAGGTTTGGGTTAGCAAGATTATCGCCTTCCTTTTTCCAGCTGCTTCCTTTTGGGGTGGACACAGCTGAGACCAACTAAAATCTCCTTCCATCTCAGCTTATCCCTATAATCCTCGTCTGTCACACCAACCCAGCAAAGACATATGAGGTCCTCCCTCCCCTTTTCCACCTATCTGACAGCTCTGTATTTACTATCTTTTCCCCAAAATATCCACTATCCCAGTTCTGCACATGCTGAAACCATTTCAGCCTTACCTAGTCGGATGGTAAATGGTAAATGGCCCGTATTTGTATAGTGCTTTACTAGTCCCTAAGGACCCCAAAGCACTTTACACATCCAGTCATCCACCCATTCACACACACATTCACACACTGGGGATGACAAGCTACATTGTAGCCACAGCCACACAACTCGACCACCTCCAACTCGGCCTCCTGTCTTTTTGTTGGTACCACTGTCTTGAAACCATACATCATGAAAATGGTTCTTTGTAAACCTGTATATACATATATATTCCATTACAAGTCATGAATGATTGATGATTAATGATTACATTAATCATTTATAATATTTCGGATCCATTTAATGTCATTACAAAGAAAACAACAATAAACATGCTTTTCTGTCAAAAACAAGGATAAAGAGGGTTGCCCAGGTTTTTAAGCTGATTTCATAAACATACATTTAAATGTCAGTGCAGAAAAACCTGTAATATCAGACAATACGTATACAGTAGTATGCACAAATGTAGTAGAATAAATGCACAGAGCACATGCAGACACTGCTCGAACAGTGTGATGTTCTGCTCTTTGAACTGAATACATTAATAATTCAATTCAACTAAAGTAACCAAACCTACTATGAACTAACTAATGAATTAAAAGGTATTTGAATTTTTAAACAGAGGAACTTGTACTTGAGCTGAGGTGACGCAAAAATTTCCCCGTTGTGGGATCAATAAAGTCTTATCTTATCTTATCTTATCTTATCTTATCTTATCTTATCTTATCTTATCTTATCTTAACTTAACATTTTAATAAATATTTTCCCTAAATTATAACAATATAGAAACACAAAGCGTGTTTGTCTAAAAAGAGGGGCCAACTATTCATATTTTGTGGAAACATGCTGTTTTCACTCCATTTGCCCTTGAGATTGTGATTAGAGGTTGTGAATATTACCTCATTTGAAGGTTATCGCGAGACAGCCGAAGAAAAACGAACTGGCGGTGGAGAGAGGACGTAAAGTCCCGAACGGTCTCCATGCTGTGTCGCCCCCCCCTCCTTTTCCAACATGGCTGCTCTGCCTGCGCTCTCAAGTATCGCACAGATTGGAGACTGACTCGATCTCTTCCTTACAGAGCCTCTTTATTTTTGGTGTACATCAAATTCGTTTGGATGCAAATCCCGTTCTGCACTTCACTGCTCCTCCTGGTTTTATTTAGTGGAATAACCTTCACCAATTACTCCTTCCAGTGGGCCCTTTTATCCTCAAAACAACTAACTGCCAGCCAAAAACTGTTTCCAGTGCAATGGTTTGAGTTGGTGTACTTAGTTTGCCTCTTCATGAACAATGTGTGAAAACTGCGCCGAGCTGGTGGAGGTTTTAAATGAAAGTAAGTAAACAAATCGTGTCATTTACGTAAAGCTGAACTAGCTGCTTGGTGTTAGCATCGCTGTCCACTGAAGCTTGATGGAAGCATGTTAGCTTGTTGGCTAACTAAATGTAACTTTGTGTGCTTTCTTGGTTAGCTGTCCTTTGCATCCAGCCATAAGACACTGGAAACAATGACATTTCAGCAGCTTATTTTGCAGTAGTATTTTCATGTGAGACAGCGTTGCTTTGGTATAAATACAAATGCCATTTTCTCTTTCACATTGGCAGTCAGTTTTGGGCCCGTCAAACACTGCTCACAAAACTCTAGCTTCAAATATCTAATTAATTCAGTCGGATTTCTGCATGACATTACAGCCTTGTGTTAAAATACTTCAAATCTGTTGGACAGGGAGTACATAAGATATTTTGAAAGATGTCGATATTGTTAAAAAGCGCGTTGCTCGGGTTTGGAAGTTAGCTAGTGCAGCTAGCGACCAGGCTGACTTTGTTTGATGTGTTTGTCAGGTCAGTCTGCTAGCTGTCCTCTCCGCTGCCACCCATTGTTTTGCAGACGGCCACATTCACAGTTCTGAATGGGCCTGCTTCTCCACAACACGCCCATGGTTAATAGTGCTGACACGAAGAGGAACATGTGTATTTCTTATGTGTGTTTTGGCCAAGTCTATAAAATGTTAGTCTAAGCTAGCCGCAAGTAAGCTAGCCCCCCCCCCCAAAAAAAATTAACGGCTGCATCGAGGCGCATATTTTGGCATATAGCACGTCGTTAATCCTCGGTAGCTTGCTTATTTGTTCTCTACTAATGTTTGTAGCACACTAGCTTAACTTCTTCTTTGTTTTGTTGGTCATTCTTGTCTTGCCACGGAACTCCATGTCACCCTCACGACTAACGTCAGCTTAAGCAAAGCAAACATAAATACAAGGTTGCTTTTATTGCTAAAAACTTAGCCGTTAATCTAGGCTTGCTAACTGGGTCTTGCTGGACTTTACGGGTGTCCGAAACTCATCGGAAAACGATTTTTAACACAAAGTCGATCATTTTTCAAAGCCTTTACATAAATTGATAGACGGACTGTTAGCGGTTTTCCCTTGTTCCATAAACTTGTCTGTGAATTGAAAGCTCCTGCTGGAGGCTCTGGAGACAGCTCCTTTTACAGACTGACTGCGGCGTGGCGTGCTACATCATATTTAAAATGGAACAGAAGATAATGTAGATAACTTCCTTTTGACAAGCTGTCATCTCTCAAAGAAGAAGACTTTACGGCGTGTGTTTCCAAATATTTAGGGTTTAGCTGTGGAGTGTATTACTCAAAGTGAAAACACTACAGACATGAGTGACAATTGAATGCTGCCATAACAGCCGAATAATAGCCAGGAAAAACTCCTTTTAGGGAGACTTTTAGAAATATACTACAGTACAAATGCACAGGCAGACCTTTATCATAGAATAGAACGGAGTAAACTTTATTGTGGTTATGCAAGTAAATTCAATATAGACTGGCATCCCGCAAAAGAGAGCCTATCCTATTGGAAAAAACAATAATAAATGAATAATAATAATAGATTATTATTCCAGATTAAGATGAATATATATATGTGTGTATATATAGGGTATATAAGGATAGTCCTTAAAGTTCTTGGCAGTGCAAGTTATTGTAGTGTATTGGGGGTTGGCGAAGGCCACAGCTGGTCAGGAAAAAGCTGTTCCTCAGTTTGTTTGTATGGGATATTATTGATCTGCATCGTTTGCCTGGTGGCAAAAGATCAAATAGAGGGTGTGTGAAGTGACTGACGTGATGCTTTCAGCCTTCTTCCACAGATGGTTGATGTAAATGTCTTCTAGCTTTGGGAGTTCCAACCCCATCACATGCTTTGCAGTCTTCATTACACTGTGTAGAGGCTTCAGCTTAGCAGCTGTGCAGACTCTGTATCACAGCTTGATCCAGTTTGATCCACTTCCTGCTGTGACAAAACAAATTTCCCAC